CACTGCTAATATTTCTGGGCCAATGTGTTGTTATTTAAACCTGCTCATCTCTCCTCTTTATGCCCTCTATAGTGTTCTGTTCTGTGTTCTTTTTATATTCAACTTGTTTATATTTTATTTTATATTCAAATATATTTTATATTCAACTTGTTTCGTAAACACTGATGTGCTTCAGGTAAAAAAGTTTTGAATACAGTTCACTTTTATTCTGCCCTTGTAGATATTTTCTGATCTCTCCAGATACCTAACTTGCTTCAGGATCAGAGAGCTGAACCTCCTTATAAGGTTTTCAGATGTCCTGAGCCTTTTTCCATGTAGACTTGGTTGACAACATATTTAGATTGCTTCTTAATTGAAGACAAGCCAGATACTTAGTAGATAGTATTTAGGTAGTTTTGTTTCTTATAGGAACAAAACTAATAAGTTTTGTTTTTGAAGGGTGGCTAGAACTGCACTCTACTTTACATATTAAACCCAAGATAAATTTACCCTTTTAAAGGTTTCCTTTCATAATAAATATCTCTAAGTCCATTTGATTTTCACCTTTGACAGTAGTTAAATTCAGATTCTGAGTGTTGACTTTTACTTATGATCGTAAATTTGATCCATCTTCCTAGCAGCCTTGTTCTTTACTTTGTCCCATCATAATTAAATGGCACTAACCATGTTTATTTAACATAATTAATGTGCATAATAACTGTCACTAAATTTCTTTCATGATGCATCATATACAGGTGACCCATCGTGTCATAGTAACCATGTTAGACTGCTAGCCACAAATCTGCCATTTGAAACCACAAATGGCTCCAGGAAGGAAAATGAGGCCTTCTCCTTCCATAGATGTACAGTCTCTCAACCCACAGGGCAGTTCTCCCCTATGCTAGAGGGTTGCTATGAGGCAGAAAGGACTCTGTGACACTGGGATTTTTTTTTTTATATCATAAAGGTTCCTGCTTGATTTTTAACATAATGAAACTTGTTATTTCTTAATATTTTTCCTAGAAAATAATATTTTATTTTGAAATGTTTAATGTGACACTTCAGATATGAATAATTGCACATGGAGGGTATTAGAATTATTGGTGAATGTCTGGTTTATGTAACAGTGATGTACAGTAGGATCAAAACCTAAGGGTTTTCTAAAAAAAGTCATAATTCATCTTTCAGATGTCTCTTGCTCAACATGACTTCTCTCCACATAGACATCTAGTGACTTCCTTTTTTCCCCTTGGTTTTCATGCTAAATAAAAAGCTAGACTTTTACCCCCAACAAGAAATGTACAGATTGTATTCAGTGTTGTGGGAGAATGTTACAAAATCTGTTGATGAAATTTTGCCTTTTAGCATTGAAACCAAAAATTCACTTAATATACTGTGTTGTGTGGCAGGAGCAGTACTTTTATTTCAGTCTGGCAGTTACGTGCTTTTGTAAGAGAAAGAGCCTTGTTTCTAAAAAGACATTGTGTAAACCACTTTTTACCTGTTGTCATAGAAACCAGATACTTAAGTGTTTCTGGAAAGTTGCCATCTTTGAGTTTGTTTATTTATTTTGTTTAGCTCATGGTCATTTCTCTTTGTGTCTGTCACTCGTTTTCTTTCAGGATTATGAAAAGGTCCTTGGATATTTAACTTTAAACTAACTCAGTGATTAAAAGAAGAGAAGAGTGGTGAATTACCCAGTGTAGTATTTGACTAGGTGCCAAGAGTGATTTTGTTCTGTCAAGTTGTTTTTGTGTGTGGGTGTTTTGTTTTAATAATTTGCTTTTGTTGTTGATGTTAACAATGTGTATGTTCGTTTCACGTTGTTAATTGTTAAAATTCAGTGACAGTGACACAGCCCTCCTCAGTCTCCATTTTTGAATTATTAACCTGAACGGACTGCCTTCTGCGTTTCTTCTCTAATCATAGTTGTTGCTATTGTCAAATTGATCCCATATAGATAGTTCTTGATAAGAGTACAGTGCTCAGGGCAAACATTCTTTACTAAGAGAATACTACTTTCTGCCTTCATAGAAAGTACTGGGGACTAAATTGTTTCCCCACGTTTAGAGCAAACATGGTTTTTTAGCTGACCAGAAACAAAATGAAGTTAGCTGTCACTTTTTAATTTCATTTTGGTACCCACCTGCTGCCCACATAAGGTGTATTTGGTTGTACTTAGAGTTGACTTCTGATAACATTCACATGTATCATTTATCAATCTTTTTTTATTGCCTAGTTCCTCTTCTGGCAATTCTGATTTTTAATATCACCATTCAGTATTTTAAATAGAACTGTTTCCGTGAAAGGTGTGAAATTATGATGGCAGAGTTTGGCTGTAGTGGCCAAGTACAAGATTTTAGTTGAAACCAGTACTTCACAAAAACAAGTGTACACCTGTTTCCATTTTCATGTATAACTGCTCTTCTTAGTATCTTTGGGGACAGGCTTCAAAGAGCGGGGCTAATTTTTCATATATCTGCAGTTCCATTCGTCCTATTAGACATTAATCCTTTCTTTTCCTTAAAGAAAACTTTGCTTATTCCTTCTTGAACTTTATTTAAGTTCTCTTTGTGGTTCTGCAGAACGCCTTTGAGCCATCTGTATCCCACCACTTCTTCATTTTCTGCAGTTTTGTGAATCATAGGATGAGTCATTACCACTGGGCTGTACCCAAATTCTCAAAAGTCGAGGTCTCAGGCGTAAGCTGAATCTGGCATGATTAAAATAGAAAGAGCCTGCTTTTGTGAATTTTCTCTTTTTACAATCCGCATGGTTTGGGTTTTTTTTGGTGTTTTTTTTTTACTGTTTTGTCCTCTTTCCAGCGTTTTGGTAGTACGTTAATAGGCACGCATGCATATCTCAGACGGTAGGCTTTTCTGTTGCAGCAGCTGTTTACCCATCAGCCCATTTCCTGGGTTTGTTAACCTCTGTAGTATGTAAAATTCGATTATCGTGTGATCAAGAAATCTCAGTGTGAAAAATAAAGAGACTAGCCTTCCCAATAATAAGGGTGGGAAAGCAGATTGACACCGGATTACGTAGGGTTGTGGACGGAGTCTCTGTTCGGATTTTTTTCTGTAGGGGATCTTTAACGGTTTGGTAGTAAAAGCCCTTCATGGTGGTGCAAGATGACAGACATGTAGATGGTCATGGAGAGGAGAGGAAGCATGAGCAATCACGAAGGAGCCCGGATGGCTCATTTGTGGTCTGATTTGTCTTCCCCTTATCCCTCAGCAATAGTGTGAAAAACAAAACATTGTTTTATAGTAACTGTAAAAAAAATAAAATCAAACCAAACCTCATGTTGATTTTCATTCCAAGATGTGGTATGATATGAAGGGGAAAGACTGTGGAAATAGACTAATGGCCAGTGGAAATGTAACTTCCTTTGGAATAAGTGTTGGAGCGGTCAGCTGCTCTGGGCGAGGGAGACAGGTGTGCTGGGCTCGTTGTGCCTTTCTCTTCTTTTGTATGTATGGTTT